ATCAATTTGGGTGGTAAAGTACTCGTTGGCGTTCAATTCGGAATTTTGTGCAGCAAGACAGCTGAGGAATAGCCGCCCAAAGTCGCTGCATCGCGCTGCGCGATGTGCATATGTCGCAAGTTTGGGGCCAGCCACCCAGAATTTCGTGCTGCACAAAACTCGCGGCTGGTAAATTTTTATCAATTTGGGTGGTAAAGTACTCGGTAGCATCGAATTCATAATTTTGTGCAGCAAGACGGCTGAGGAATAGCCGCCATAAGTCGCTGCATCGTGCTGCGTGATGGGCATATGTCGCAGGTTCGGGGCTAGCCACACAGAATTTATTGCTGCGCAAAACTCGGGGCTCGTAAAATTTCATCAATTTGGGTACTAAAGTACTCGTTTGCATCGAATTCTCAATTTTGTGCAGCAAGACGGCTGAGGAATAGCCGCCCGGATTCGCTCGATCTTGCTGCAAAATAAATAAATGTCGCTGCATCATGCTGCGCGATGTGCATTTGTCGCAAGTTTGGGGCCAGCCACATAGAATACCTTGCTGCACAAAACTCGTCGCTGGTAAAATTTCATCAACTTGGGTGCTAAATTACTCGTTAGCATCAAATTCGGAATTTTGTGCAGCAAGACGGCCGAGGAATAGCCGCCCAAAGTCGACCGATCGCTTTGGTTCGCACTCCGATGGGCTGGAGACCTCAACGCATGTGAGCAACAGGTCTTTTTTTTGGTCTATTTAATGGTTCGTTTTTCTTTCTTTTGGGCCTGTTTTCTAGACTTTTTTGGACTTAAGGCACTCTCCCTTTTCCCTCTTTTCACTTTGGGTCAGCGTGGAGCTCATAATTTTAATATTTTGCCTATTTTTTAGAACTTTTTGTTTTCTATAGCTCGTTCATTTAAGATGACCCTTTTGTGGCCAAAATTTTGTGGCCAACAACATACACGTTGTGCACAAGCCATGCACAAGAAAACTAAGTGATTTAACGCGAGTTCACGTTATTCGAGCGTATTAGAGCACCTTCCCCTTCTAATGCAGTAGAGTACCACACATAATCTGCAATGCAGAGTAGTTAAAGCGGTTTGCTGCGCTAAGGCAAATCTAGCTGACCTCGAGTTCCTTGATGAACAACTGCACACCATCTCTAACCGTAACAACGGATTCGTTCTTAATGACTTCCGGTCTTTGACGGCGCTGCCGTACGTGCCCTACTGACTACTCAATTATGCCGAAAGAGGAAGTTGCAATCCTGGAGACGTTCCAGAAAGGCGTTTGAAAAATCGCTTACCTTTAGCAGTACAGAAGTTGGGCCTCGTCGTCAACCACCACTAGACTCGGAGAGGGCTAGCCAGGGCGTCACTGCCGCCGCACAGAACTGCTGCGCCACTGGCAAGTCGACGCGGTGAGCGTGCAAGCGGTTTCCAGGTCCAGGCGGAAGGCGTGGCGGCCGCAGCGTCGTCGTCGTCGTCGTCGGTGCGGGGCCTCGTTTGCGCCACTACATCGTGGCGAAGGGGCAACTACTAACCTCTAACGCACATAGAGCATTCTAGAACAAGAAGAATCACAAAACCGGAAATGGCGCCGGCAATTTAACCTCACTCACCCGTCCGAGTGCATCATTTTAAAAGTTTTACGATTCGACACTCTTTCAACATCAATTAAGGGGGCTCATACATGTTAAAAGCACTTTGTAAAAATTTTCTTTTGATGTAGACGGATCAAGATTTTACAATTTCTGTGTTAAAACCCTTTTAGATAATTGAGTAAGCTTCATTTTGGCGTAAAGGAAAGTGACTTTGGACATTTTTTGGAGATTTAGTCGAAACGTTTAAAATTTTAGTTCTCGTAAGATTTTGTTCGCATACTTGCTCAGATCTGTGGGGAAAAAATCAGGGAGACTCATCCCTAGTAGTGTCATAGAATTGACTACAATGGGCTTTATATCTGCAATAGTTTTCAAGAAAAAAAATAAAAACAATTTTTTGTTAAAAAATTTGTTCAAAAAATTGTTTTTATTTTTTTTCTTGAAAACTATTGTAGATATAAAGCCCATTGTAGTCAATTCTATGACACTACTAGGGATGAGTCTCCCTGATTTTTTCCCCACAGATCTGAGCAAGTATGCGAACAAAATCTTACGAGAACCAAAATTTTAAACGTTTCGACTAAATCTCCAAAAAATGTCCAAAGTCACTTTCCTTTACGCCAAAATGAAGCTTACTCAATTATCTAAAAGGGTTTTAACACAGAAATTGTAAAATCTTAATCCATCTACATCAAAAAAAATTTTTTTACAAAGTGTGTTTAACATGTATGAGCCCCCTTAAGCTTATGTCAAATACTTTTTGGCAAAGAAGAGAAATACATTTGTTAGCATTACCGTGAAACGGGGTAATTTCGGACACTCGGTGTAATTTCGGACAACTCTGCCCGGAAGCATGGCGATGATGCTCCCATCTAACGGCCAACTTGGAGGCTTGTCCCGTTGCGCGCATCGCATCGGCCACACTTAAAACCATCTGATCAATCACCCGGAGGCCAAATCAGGGGCAAACTTCAGGAGAAAGAGTGGTTTTTGTATTTAACCATTTTTATTACCTAAAGTCACTTTTTGCGTAAAAACTTCGACTGGCAAGCCGAAACTGTTCATGGCCGGTTCATGAGGTGATTGTTTGTCGATTCGATCATCACACAAAATCTATGTGTGTACTCAGTACACACTTCTAGGTGCGTGCTTACAAGCATGCACTTCTAAGTGTGTACTTGCCTAAGCACGCACCTAGAAGTGTGTACTGAGTACACACATAGATTTTGTGTGATGTTAAGAGCATACGGTGTCAAATTTTCAATCACCTGGGTCATCAAATAGTATGGTTTATATGGGCTCAAAACTGAAAAAAATTTACTTTACAGGGTAATTTCGGACATACAAACGTCACGCCAGGGAGAGTGGGTATGCCCTGAAAACTTCCAATTTCGCAGGGTTTGAGTTGTGGAAGCTGAAGAGCTCTTCTGAAAGTTGAAGATAATCCAATAACAACGATATTCCCCAATTGTTACAGCGGTTGCTTTGTAAACTTCGAATTTCATAAAAATGGGGCAAAGCTACATCTTTAATATTTAGTTTTATGTGCATATCCTACGTAAAAGCGTCAACGACTGTTTTGTGATTCATTTTCTTTCATGTGACATGAGAGTTGCCCTTGGCGAATGGCTTCATAGCTCGCCGGATCACTACAATTGAAATGCAAAGCTTTCCACTGAGTCCCTGTATCTTCCTAACCGTTCAAACGACACGACTACTTGCCTTTCATATGCATGTATGTGATTGTATGTAATCTTGTAGAGGAAGATTTACGATTCACTTTCGCGTAATAAAGTATGGCCCGAGTGGCCTAAGAAAGCTAATCGGTCAAAGATTAAAAAATAGAAGCGTTCTAAATGGCTCTTCTAGTTCCACCCACTATTCCTGAAATCGAACTACATATGAGTGCAAAAACATGACTTCAAATTATGTATGAATGACCACCCCTACCTACCCTAGGCATAAAAATTATGCCCTTGAAGGGCGTAAACGATTTACGCCCTTAAATGGCATAAATCGTTAATGCCTTTGGGAAGGGCATTAAAATTTTGCTTGAAATTTCTATGCCATTTACGCCTCTCCCAAGGGCATAAAACGATTAGCCCTTGCAAGGGCGTAATTTTTATGCCTTTGTTTCACCAGTGTACTCTGAGAATGATAACAGGAAAAGTAGCGATATTCATCGGCAACTTTGGCGCGTCCCGTACATTAAGAAACGTATAAATTTCGCCTATTTTTGACCCTGACGGGAATTAAACCTGAGTCTGGGGTTGAAATAAATGTAGTTTTCGTCATCAGCACCCACAAAAACATCAGAAACAATGCAAAAACTCAAATAAAAAGAATGTTCAAAAAATACCCCGCTGGGATTTGAACCCGGGTCCGAACTTCGCCGATTCGCTCGAAACTGACACCATTGGTTTTTTCTCGTCGCCCCGATTCCAAAAATACCCCTACATGCCCTTCTAGCTGCATCCGTTGCCGAGATCCTCCTCGACCCCATGTAGACCATGATGCACCTGCAGCAGCGCCCCCGGGGCTCGGATCGGATTTGCTGCCACCGGGCGGTTCTTAGGGTCATCCAAGGAGGCGGCATACCAAATTTGGCCAAGATCGGACCACGGGAAGTCCTCGGACGAACGAACGGGACGGGCCAAAAAAGTCATGATCACTACACAATTTTGGGCGAGATACAGTGTATCACCTAAATTTGGGTTAGGAAGGGTATATCAGCTACACTCCAAATCCAGGGTGTCTAGAAACTATACGCCTTAGGCGTATGCCACAGAAATGGAACTGCCTTAAGGCGCCTTGATTCTACACGCCAAAGGCGTATACCCCATTGAGCACCTTTTGCAGATAGAAGTTAGCATGTGAGCACCATTGGTCGAAGGAAAGGTGCGTGCATTGTACACACCCTGGATCATAGGCACTGAGCTCAACAGGACTCAAGGTGCGTAGAATGTAAACACCCTTTAAGGCCTCGGTAGGCATGGCCTCGGCCAAGGGCGGTTCCTTCGACCAATGGTGTTCACATGCTAACTTCTATCTGCAAAAGGTGCTCAATGGGGTATACGCCTTTGGCGTGTAGAATCAAGGCGCCTTAAGGCAGTTCCATTTCTGTGGCATACGCCTAAGGCGTATAGTTTCTAGACACCCTGGATTTGGAGTGTACCTACATGGCTCCATAGTATTATGACCCAAATTTGGGCGAGGAAACCTTCCTCACCCAAATTAGGGTGATAGATAATTCCTCGCTCAAAATTTTAGTCACGATCATGACTCTTTCATTCTCAGTGTTCAAAGCAAAGCAGTTTGTCAGAACTAAGAATTTGCGCAAGAAAAACACTTCGTAATTTACGAACAATGTATGTTTGTTCAAAATACTTCGTAAGGTTTTATGGGTGCGAACAGCAGGAACCAGCTGCGCGCCACCTAGCGGCCACTGCTGTTAACTTCATCCAAACCTGTGCTTGTGACACGATCAGGGTTCAGGTTTCGGCTTTTGAAAGTTTATATAGCTGTTCGATGGTGCGCTGCTGGTTTGTGACTTTTTGAATACATGGTTACTTTTCCTCTCCAACTACTGGTTTGAGTGCAAAAATGTATGGCAGGGAGTCTTTCCTCCTGAGGACACCTCTACCTCTCGTACTATAAGTAAGGTAGGCCAACATTTCACATCGAACCGAAAAGTTGATTTGGCTGGAGAGAGACTTGTGCATCGTAGACGTTTAGGGTAAAGTGCGGAACATGGATCGGGGTATCAAACATGGATCATTTCTGTTTGTGGGTCTATATCTAAAGCCCACGTGACCAGATTCTTAATTTCTGTCTTTCCTTGCTTGGACTGACCCTTTTGACTGTTAGATGTGAAGCTGACATGTTTGCAACTGCCTTTCTCTACTCTGCAGGGTTGCGTTTTGAAAGACACCTAAAACAGGCCCCAGAGAATCGATGGAAAAGTGACGTTCAAAAAGGTGATTTTTGCACTCTCAGCACGTCATTGACTTTTTGCTCATTTTGTTAGTACGTATGCAAGTGATTTGTGCCAACATAATATGCACTTATTCGTTTCTAAAGAACCACTTAGGAAATATTAAATAATGTACTGACCATTTGATTTCGTACAGAATTTTACAAAGAAAATTTGTCATACTTACTTAAAAAATATTAAGTAATATTGTTGCTTATACGAATACGTAATTAATGAGGAAAAAGTCAGTAACGTGCTGAGAGTGAGCACATCTGATTCTGGGCCAAGGAATCACCGCAGTCACTTCAAAATTTTTCATCGTGCTCTACTATTGTTATTTTGGGACCACTGAATGCATACCCTGCTTAGTGTCCACACGCTGGTGGGGTGATCCATGATGACCGCCCTAACCCAAAACACCATATCCTAGAAAACTAATATTTATAATGGGTATTTTGTGAGATGAAATAAATTAAACAAAAATCGTCACTGGAGCAAGAAGCGGCTGTAGAAAGGCTGCACTGAAAAACCAAACGTGGTCCAGACCGCACCACTAGTGTGGTCAGATGGGTGCCATTTTGACCACATCAGTTGGTGTGGTCTAGACCACGTTTGGCCACGTTTGGTGCGGTCTAGACCACGTTTGGTGTGGTCTAGACCACACCAAATGCCCCAAACGTGGTCTAGACCACACCAACTGATGCGGTCAAAATGGCATCCATTTGACCACACCAGTTGGTGCGGTCTGGACCACGTTTGGTTTTTCAGTGTGGCTGGCAGTCAGTTTCCGATTTCGTCGACATGTTGTCATGGTGCCCATGCTTTCAATTGAGGACACGCAGTTTGAAAATTTCTCCTCACGACACATGTCGCTATCGTGTAAACCACGAGCATGCCAAAGAGCTCTTCTGAAGTATCACTTTTGGCCAAACCAAAAAACTAGAAGAAAAATAAATCAAAATTTTTTACTTTTTAATTACTGCTGCTCGCGCGCTGTTTGTGCGCGTGGTTCACACGATAGAGGCACGTTAACGGAACATTTTGCCGCAAACCGCGTTAAACCATCTCAATTTTAACGGTCGTGAGCCTGGTGGGTATCATAGGCCGAAAATTGGTTATTTGAGAAAATGACGGTTTAAGTGAAACTACGGTTTAGGGGTAGGTTGGGTAAGAAAAGGACACTCGAAGCTCGGGTAAGAAAAGTACACCCGTTATATCTCCGAACTGAAACTACACTGAACCATCACGTTAGTGGTTTTAGAAAGATTGGTCATCCCGCTGACAAAAAATAAATTTAGCCCAGTTCTACATATAATATTCAGAATGAGCCGACAGTCAAATGTAAGGTACCACCTTATAGCTTAGGCCATCATCTTTGAAAAACAGTGCCGTTCGATGCTCTTAGGCTTCAACACAATTTTTTATAAGTGTAAAAGTGATTTGGGGAAGAAAAGTACAGACGGCTGGGGAAGAAAAGTACAGGTATTGGGGAAGAAAAGAACACCCTCGAAGAAACTAAAAGCGGGATGAAAATTGAATTGATCACGGAAATAGATTTGATTAGGCGAGACAAGCAAAAAATGTCAACACAAGACAATTATACTCGAAATAAACAAGTTATTGTGCATTTACGTGAAAAGGGGAAGAAAAGTACAAAAATGCTGTACCCACTTATCTCTGAGAAAAGGCTTCTTGGACCTTCTGTGATGAGTCCATGTAGAATCAGAACCAATTGACCGATTTGGACGAAACTTGAACTAATGGCAAGTGAAAGCTCTCCACTTTAGGGGTAAACCTATATTGAGCCAAGATTGGTGGTCTCCTGGTTCGAACTCGCAATTCTTTTCGTTGTACTTTTCTTTCCCGGTGGTGTACTTTTCTTACCCTTTTCGAGGAGTTCCGAAATCAAATACATTTTGGCATGTTGTACGTAATGTGGGGAACTAAATTCAACGGTCAGTGATCCATTTCATTAGGAAGGCATTGGATTACATGTTCACGAGAGCAGAACAGCTGAATCCTCATTTGGAACTTCTGTACAGTGCAAAGTACGCGTTTTGTACTTTTCTTCCCCAACCTACCCCTAAACGCACTTTTTCCGATTACGGACGCTACTTACCGTAGAACGGGCTAATATGAGACAGATTTCGAGTTTTTTTTTGTGAATTTCCCCCTTTCAATTTGAAGTGCTGAGGTGTTCATCACTTGGTCACTGACCCTTTGGCTACACTCCCACCAAATTTCAGATTTTTATGTGCAGTAGGGAACTTTCAATAACCCTCGGAATGCCGTCCCATATTTCCCTGCAATGTGGGGTAATATGAGACAAAAGAAAGAAATGTTTAAGAAGTATGGAAAATTAACTCATTTAGGCGGGTTTGGAGCTTTTCAAGTTCTTTTCATTCATTTTTAAGATGATTGATAACTATAATGGAGTCGATATAAAATCTGGAGGGAAGAAAAATGGGTACCACTAAAGAGAGCTGAAAAATGTATAAGAAGTCTTGAGTTGTGCCTGTCACATGAAAACACTAAACGAAGAGCATAGATGCCGGTCAGATAGTAAAACGAATTCGTGTTAAAATCATTATTACTTGAAATTATTAACAGTGGAGTATGTTTGGCCTCATGTTTCAAGCGAAAGAGGTGTCTCTATTTTCCCTGCAAGGTAACAAAATTGTATTCCATCTGGAACAGGCAGCCCGGGAGTAGACGTAACGGAACCAAATTTTGTCCCGATTATGTTGACATGATTGCCTACATATTTTAACCTCGTTTGAACGAGAACCCGAGTTCTAACCGAGGTTTCTGGGGAGGGTTTTACTAACTTTATAAAACTTGTTATAATTGAGAGGTTTTTCTTTTGGTTCTAAATAATCCTGGCGAGTCTCTGATTGCCTTCGTGCGTTTCCTGTGAGCTGCCAAGGCCTCCTAGATCACGAAAAAAATTCACGGTGGTCTTCCGAACAACCGCTAGAGAGCAACACGACAAAAACCGAAAAAAGGGCGCTTTGTCTCGATTTTCCTTCATGTCTCATATTACCCCGTTCTACGGTATGACGTATTTGAGTTCGGTTTGCGCCAAAATATTATTTTTTCCAACTGCGTTTGGTTGGCTTAAGGGTTCTATCGTTGAACTTCAAGTGAGACAACTGAACGTTAACAATTGAGTTAAAATATGCAAAAATAGTTTCCTTTTTGCCAACTTGAAAAATGTGCACAGGCCAAATTGGAGACTTGAGGTGGAGTTTGCGGCGTTCGACGCGGGATAAAAAGTTAAAAAAAAGAGAAGATATAAAGATAAATATAAAAGAGGGCTGAAGTTTGCCGGTTTTCACTTCTGTTCTCCCTTCATACGCTTTGGTTGGAAAAGCCTGGGGCGATTAGTTATGTGCATGGCAGTTTCATTCCCTTTAAGGTATCAATAGCGTCATCTGGAGAAGGATAAGAAATGAAACAATTCGTTAATGCAGGTTTTTAATCATTACGAGAAAGGCACACTATCAATTAGGTGAAGAATCTTCTTCTCCCTCAGCATACGGTTGGTCATCAGACCTGATGACCTGATAACAGTCCAGGGGGCACCCGGCCCTCCAACTATGCGACGACAAGGACACCACAGCGCCGCGACCAAGTCGCGCATGGCAGCCCCACCGACACCACGGGCAAAACTTGCAGTACGCACGGTAGCAGTCCACCACGCGAAGGTGCAGGCGGGGGTTTCGCACGAAGAGGTCGAGGACAAATGGACCGTGCACAGCTTCATGGAGGCAAAGGGTCGTTTCAGAAGAACCCGTTTGAAGTATCTCCAGCATCGTGAGGCAGGGAGAGGACGTTGGGGTCACGGCCTGCAGGAGGTCTTCCGATAGCTCATCATCTATGGACATGATGATGCTTTTCAGAGAGGGAAACTTAGGCAGAACGGATGCCACCACCATCCCCGAGACATCGGAAGCATAATTACAATCCTCTTTACCATTCACTTCAAGAATTTCCAGAGTTTCTGCCGAGGGCGAATTTCCCAGAGCAAGCAGTGGAGCATTGAGTTCGTGTGGGAGGCCGCAAAACTTCACAGTCCGCATGTGGGATGCCTTGGTGAGAAACTCAAGGGCGCCGGGAATGGCACCGTCAAAGGCGATGTGTAACTGAGCAATGGGCAAAGCGGCCAGATGGGGCAGGCCTTCACCCTGGTAGCATTTCAGCGAGCGCAGCTTGGAGAGACTGGCGAGTGACGACCAAGGGACGTCAGTTCCAAGATAAAAAACGTCAACATCTTCCAAAGTAGCACAATGTGTCCTCAGCATCAGGTTGAAGAAGGCTCCCGTGGAAGATGAAGTTGAACGGAGCTTCTTCAAGGACGGCAGCACTTCGAGTTCACCCCATTCATCTTCATCTAGGTCTTCGTTGAAAGTAAGATCCTGCAGACCGTTGAAGGCATAAACCGCCTTGAAGATAAGTGAGTGTGTCTCGTAGGAAAGCCAATTAAGATCTAAGGTAAGCTTCGTCAACCTCAATCCGCTGGAGACGGCGGAGAATCTCGACAGCAAAGCTAAGGCCAAGGCGGCTGACTTCTCTCCATACACACTTAGTTCGAGCCCGGAGACGGTGCAGGCAGAAGTGGACACGAGCGGTTCCAGAGCCTCCACGGGGACTTTAGCGATGGTCCCGATGCAGGGCGCGAGGGCCAACGCGGCGCGCAGCACGCCCTCGCTCTCCACTGTAGCCGCCCGCCACAGGTGCTGATGCAGGCAGAGGTCCCGGAGGCGGCGACACGCCACGCGGCACGCGAAGAGCTCCCGCGGCGATAGGAACGCCAGCACGGCCAGCAACGCGTCGTCCGGCAGGGACAGCAGCTGCGGGCAGAGAGGAACGCGTTGAGTCGCACAGTCGAGCCGATCGGCTTCATCGTGGATTAGACCGTGGCTTTTTGGGAGAAGATTTAACTTCGGGCATGTAGCATGGGTGATGGGAACCTTTAATAGTAACTTGATTTAGGACACTATAGGTCGGACATTAAATTTAAAACCACTGTAGGGCAGGGTTGTTAACGTTACTTTTCAATGAAATTGCACACATTTCTTTTAAAACTGCACCAAAAGTATTTTTTGTGGTATTATTCTAATTCGCTGAAATTTGTGATAGTGTTGGCCCTAGGAGGACGAGAACCCTAAAGTGACGAGTAACGGCGTTACTAGATTCATTCTTTTCTCGATACTTTGACTTTTGACAAATTTTATCGAACCAAAATTTTTTCTAGAATATTTGAACTTTTGAGAGTCTTTTGCATCAAAGGAATCAATATAATACAAGAAAAAAATATTTTTGGTTAATTGTTCAAATCAAATTGCGCAAAATGGCTGAAAAGTAACGTTAACAACCCTGCTGTAGCGTAACGCACACTTAGGAGGCTTGCGCAGTACATGCTGCATTGGAGCATGCTTGCAAGTACACGCCGCCAAGTGGTGTGTGCCTGTGAGTACACTTTTGCTAGAGTCGCCTACAGTTTGCATGTAAACCACAGCAACAGTGTACTTGGCAAGCATGCTGCAGCGTGGAGTGTACTTGCAGGCATGCTTCTAGAGCATGAGACAGTGTTAAACAGTGTGTTTGCCATGCACACACTGTAGAACAGCGTGCCTGACCGACACTGCGTAGGTCCTGAGCACAAAGTCAGAAACTGTGTGCTACTCTGTACATTTTCAAGCGACATGCACTCACTTTCGTTTGCAAAGTGTGTGCTTAGCACACAGCTGGGGAAGTATACTTGGAAGCACACTGGTAAGACTAAAGCATGGTATTACCCTCTGTTTTCAAGCGTAATCAGGTTACGCTTGAAATCAAGCGTGACAGGCTCAACCGCCAAGGTGCCCCCTATCTAAATGCATGGGGGAATTTCCAGAGTATGCTTCATTTCAAGCGTAACGTCTTCAAGCGTAACTTTATGCTTGACTCAAGCATAGAGTTACGCTTTAGTTTTACCAGTGCAGACATCTAAAGCAGTGTACTTGTCCTTAATTGTACTTGTACTTTTATTAACCACAACTATTGCCATATTTGTGCATACTGCAGCAATGTAAAATATATAAATTAGGCACATAATGTCGCCTATGAAGTATTTCCACCTTATGAACTAATTTACATGTCACGCATGCACAAATATGGCACAGTTTTGGACAAAGCGTCCATAGGCGTTTGGCGTGTGGAGGGACGTGCAAACGCGCTGCACGAAGTGAAGAGGTGATGTCAGCAGGTATACAGTTACACCAGGTATAATCCCATCAGGTAACTCCCATCAGATATACATTAATTTATTTTATATTTATGTTACGCGGATTCCCAACAAGTGAAAATCCCACCAGATATACAGGTGTTAATGATAGATTTTAATGTGTCAGCATCAGCAAGTATAATTCCCACCAGGTATACATCCCAATAGGTATAATTCTCACTAGGAATGAATTGGAAGAAAACAACGAAATGCTTGAATACAAATGAAAACTTCGACTCTAGCGCATTCCCTGCAGGAAATGCGCTCCCAATGAAGCTGCATTCTCTAGCGGGTACGCAACTCACGTTTCAATTGTAATTCATGTTGCGCTACTCTGATATACAATGGCAACACTATAGGTTCGTCCAATGTATGTCTGTTTGCAGACGTCTACTAAAGGAAAACGAATAAAGGTCTATTAGACGTTGCAAATTCCGCCATTAGATGTGTAGACAATCTACCTGGGGCTTCTACCTGGCGCTGCTGTTCAACTAGCGCGCTGTACAAATTAATTTTAAGTACGGTATATAAAATAGGTGTACATCTGCTGGGATTTGTACTTGTTGGGAATCCCTGTAAATAATATTAACATTAAATGGTGTATATCTGATGGGAATTATACCTGGTGGTATTATACCTAGTGGGAAATATACCTGTTGGGATTATACTCAGTGGGACTGTATCCTTGCTGGGGTAGGGGTAACCCCGAAGTGAAAAGAAAGTACTCACCGATATCTCCGTCTCGACCATTGCTGCACTATCCATCGCCAGAAGAACGACGAGGGACAAAGTTCCGACAGCCCGAACCAGACAGGAATCCACCTGCACAGATTATACACGAACAGTCGTGGGTGAAATATTAAATTGAAAGACCGGCTGAAAATCCTTCTGGGCCTCAAATGGGCATTTGAGGCGTTTTTACAAAACACGAAATAGCGGCTCCCGAGTCTCTTTCCGGGCGAACTCCTTTCATCTCTTTCAATTAAGGGGGCAGTAGCAATTTGTGCACGCTTTTTCAATTTTTTTCGAATTTTCTGTTTGCACCTGAACTAAAAAGACTTCCATGAAGGCTAGAGACAAACGGCAGTAACCATGTAAAAGATCATTTTTTTTGCAACAATTTCAAAAAAAAGTATTTTGTTTTAGCATAAGGGGAGGCACCTATATGAGGGACGTAAAAAAGGTCTGCAAAATCATACGTGGTGTCACTGCGCGCACGATTTCAGCCAAAGTTTTCAACATTTTTTCAATCGGTAAAGTGCATAAAAAAGAGCATAAAATTGCCTACAAAATGAACCACGGGGGTTATTATCGGATGAAAAATGCTACTGGATATTTAGTATCGAACAAGAAAAATGCATTCAATTGAAAATTTGTGAAAACGACCTTTTTCTACCAGCGTTTTTGGCCCGATATTAACCCCCGTGGTTCATTTTGTAGGCAATTTTATGCTCTTTTTTATGCACTTTACCGATTGAAAAAAAGTTGAAAACTTTGGCTGAAATCGTGCGCGCAGTGACACCATGTATGATTTTGCAGACCTTTTTTACGTCCCTCATATAAGTGCCTCCCCTTATGCTAAACCAGAATACTTTTTTTTGAAATTGTTGCAAAAAAAATGATCTTTTACATGATTACTGCCGTTTGTCTCTAGCATTCATGGAAGTCTTTTTAATTCAGGTGCAAACAGAAAATTCGAAAAAACTTGAAAAAGCGTGCACAAAGTGCTACTGCCCCCTTAAAGAAAAAGTTAAAAGAGTTGTACGAAACGTGACCCAGGACCATGAAATCAGCTCGTAAAAAAATTCTTTAGGGGGCAGTAGAGCCATTGACATTAATTTAATCAAATTTTGACGAAGTTCCTGCTGTTACAGAGTCCTTTCTGTTCATCGTGGATAAAAACACGTATCATCAATGAAAAGAGGGTTCTTCGAGGTTTATTTTGAAAACAAAGTGGTTGAACTACTGCCACTTTGGAAGGGTGTGCGAAGGGCACAAGAAGACAACATATATGCCCAATTATGACAAAATATCACTGCGCGCAGAGCTGCTCAGTCCCCGCTAGAAGTTTTCTATCAAAAATTTGTCCACGTGTTTTACATGCTAAAGCGGTAAAAATGACCCTCTAGCTTTGAGAAATAACATCGGGAACTCAAGTTGTATGAAACGTTAAAAAACACGTTAAAATTTGTCATCGTTGAGTTTTTTTTTTTCAAATAACATCGGGAACTCAACTTTTATGAAACGTTAAAAAACACGTTAAAATTTTTTTTTCAAAAAAAAAAAAACGTTACATTGCTTCGCCAAAATCTGATCTAGCCCGAGATTTCATAGTGCCCGCAAACGATTAGGCCTAACTCACGAGTGTTAAGGGGAGGTTCTGGTGAAAATCTTGCCATTTTCAAAATGGATCCCAGTGTCATAATTTGTTCCGAATATAAAATCTTTCTTCGAGGAGAGTAAAATTTGATTTTTGAAGGCACATCCCAGGCTCTGAACCCAGTCGAAGAGCCTTTTTGAGCCTATTTTGGCTGTATCTTAAAAAATCTCCTTGCGCATACTATTTTGTCGTAAAAGGTTGACCTTGACATTTTTCACTTCTTCGATTCATTTTCCAAAAATGCCGGCATGCATAGCTCAAAATTTCCATTATATTTTTAACTGTAAGCTTTTAAAGCTGAAAAGTCCCTAAAATTTGTCTATTTTGTACATTTTTGATCAATTATAGTGAAATGCTTGGTTAGAAAGCTTGCGAATGAAAATGTAATTTACATTTTGAGTTGTGCATGCCGGCATCTTTTAAAAATGAATCGAAGAAGTGAAAAATGTCAAGGCCAACCTTTTACGACAAAATAGTATGCGCAAGAAGATTTTTAAAGTTATAGCCTTAATAGGAGAAAAAGGCTCTGCGACTGGGTTCAGGGCATAAAATGTGAGTCCTCAATGAAAATTTTTAATAATTACTTGGTAAGACATCAAACTTTTAACTAATTTTCACAGTGGGACCTATTTAGGAGAAAATAGCATTTTCACCAGAACCTCCCCTTAAGATCAAATATGTTAGTTGCAAATCGTTATTCGACAACGTGTATTAACTGCAACCGTTGCAACCTTGCGCTAATATGGAGTCTGTTCACTTCCGGTCCAGAATCCACGAATATGTCCACACCAAAGACCAATGAACACTTTTTAACAATGTCTCAAATTTGGAGCTTGCATTGATATTTAAAACGTGGTAAGTTCCATAAGATCATCTGCGATTAGCAGCGATAAAAAAAGGCTGATGAGGTATTTTAAATTATCGCATTTGTGGCAGCAATAAAAAGCCATCGCGTTATGCATGCCATAAGTTTCTCGCGTTTTGGCCGATTGCGTTACAAAGAATCACATTATTGGTGTGAGAGAGTGATAATAACACACGCCAATGCAAAACAATATTTGAAGCACTTGAGACGCAGTAACTCCTTGTGTGGCACTTAAAATGCAATAAAAATGAGGTGCAATTTTAAATGGATTCATAACTGCACTACCTACTACCTATACCAGTATGCGCGATCTCCGTACAAATTTGTACGAAAAAGTTCGCATGCACAAATTTGTATGTGGCCAGGTACAAAATTGAACAGCTACGTTCATTTTTCATCAGTCGCGACGTTTACAAGGGCTAATTGAACACCAAAAGACACTCCCAGGACCTGATCTAAACAAAACATAAACCGGAAACAGTACGAGAATTCGGCTTTTGATGTCTACATCATACTCACTCAATCATGTATGAGCTTCTCCCCATTTTGATTGAGAATGAACACTCATCTTTAAAAGGTTAGTCGTATAGGGTATTCCGACGAAACTAGACCGGAACCCCAAGCAGTAGAAATATTTTGATCCGGTATGAGAAATCTGGTGTGCAGAGGCCTGAAAGTAAGCAAAATCGGGTGTGCGAATGACCTGCGCACACCTGATTTCTCATACCGGATCCAGATGTTTCTACTGCTTGGGCTTCCGGTCCGGTTGCGTCGGAATGCCCCATTTCGCATCTGCTTTCGGTATGGGCGCTCTCCCACTTCCCTTTCACTCCGGTTTCTACTAGAAGGGTGGATAGATTCACATTCAGAAAGACGCACTCACCCTGCAGTCGCGACACCAGGGCAATACCTCAGCTACTCCCGGTGGGCTACTGAGAATAGACCGAACGTCCGTGGTACGCTACCCGGATGCAGAGACGACTTCGAGGCGAGCTGAGCAGATCACGGCAGCGAGCTAAAACACAACAGCCCTCTACTTTACCACTCGGAACTTCAACTTGACAAGAAAACACTGAGAATCCAAACGCTATGAGTATAGCGTCAATTGGTGCAATACAAAAGCATTGCACATGAAGTGCAATGCCTCGCAATTCCCATGCATTAGCATAGGGCCTTTTCGGGAAGCATTGCACCAAAGGTGCGATATGGCTGTGGCATTGCACGTATGGTACGATATCACAGCGCATTGCACCACGTGCTATACTCATAGCGTTTGGAATCTCAGTGAAGGCAAAAACAGGACTAACGTTATTTTGAAACTCGATGGTTCAACCAAGAATGCATCGCAATCAGACCGCAAATACGTTTGAAACTCGTCAATTCGTTGACGGAATCTTTAAGTTAGTCACCAGAGCAAAGCAATCGTTCGACAGGCCGAACAAAGTGCGTTTCGTCCACAAGGTACTTTTCTGATGGGTGGAACCTGTCATTTCGGACATCCGATTTTATTCTCCTTGTCCGGGCCCAGAGCCTCTTCGATATAAGGTAATGCATCTGAGCCGGAAGTGTCAGAGGAAAAGTACGAACCTGACCGCTCCAGAACATGCGCAGACTCCCCCCTCCACTCCTAGGCCGCGTCTGCGCATGCGCAGAAGCGTTCTGAGCTCTTACTTTTGATCTTTCACCTCAAGTTCCGGGATTCGTCCAAATACCCTAAACCTTCTTCTGCAAATCTTGGTTAACAGCGCATCCTACTTGAACTGCTTACGTAAAGCAATCTAGTCGTCGCCGATCGAAAAAAAGGGGAAGAATGCGACCGGGAGCTGGGAAGAAAGAAGTATATTAGCGTGCCCGGTTTAGGCGAAATGGTATTAAGTTTTTGAGGAGATAGGCTTCGGAGAACTATGAAACTTTTATAATCGGAGAAGTCTGCGAGCCTTGCAGCGCGAGGTTAGTTGCTGCCGCCACTTCCGGTTCTGTTCTTCCTCATGTTGTACGATTGGTGACGATTAGAATGCTGTATTTTAACATAAAGGAAAACAAGTAAGCCAACTCGGGCCGATTTGAATGTGATGTCCCTAGAAGGCGTCCAACTCGCTTTGGCTGATTCATAAAGGAAGTGCAGGCGTGAGTTTCCGCGAGTCCCACGGAATAGGTCATTCTAGTCGTCGCCGATCGGATAACAAGAAAGAACAAAACCGGAACTGGCGCCAATATAACCTCGCAGACCTGTATGAGTGGTATAGTTTATTCCCTTAAACTGGGCTTGCTGCCTACCCCCTTTCTGCCCGGCTTCCGGTTATGTTCTTGCTCTTCTATCGATCGTCAAAGGATAGAATAGAATGTTAACGCTCCATTCTGGTGCTCTTCCTCTAGTGCTCTGCAAACTGAAGAGTGTACTCTGCATGCATCTACAGAAGCAAACTACACTGTGAGGTTGGACGCTGTGTGCAAGCTTGTTTGCAGGTACTCACCTGCGGATGCAAACTTGTCTCAGTGCACAAGTACTGATGGTTACTTGGCTGCAGTGCTCATCTTTAGCCAAATGCGTCTGAAGATGTGTACAGCTAAGTATTC